AAGTAAAGGTACATGTTCAACTTGCACTATAAATAAATTTGCATGAAAAAGTATTAAAATAAACTAAATTTGACTATAACGTTAAGGATATAAGTTCAATTTGTAAATAGAATTTTTTTTCATATGAAAGCACCAACCAGATGAAGCATTGTAAAATTCATCTATCTATCTTTGGATTGATTGTAAATAGAATTGACTCGAGTTCAATCAATCTTTGGATTGTTTGCTGCGTTACTTTGATAAAAATACACCCCCCAGGGTCGTATTAAGTGGTATCAGAGCCCCATTCTACAAAAGGGCGAAGAAGAAGGCGAAAACATATTGTTTCGTACAAGCAGAATCATCGATAAACAGGGCAGCCATGGTGGTCGAATTAGAACAAGCGAATTTGACGTTATATACTCACTGTTTGGGGGGAGAGAAGGTGTGCTCCGTGTATGTCAATGGTGTGAGCCAATCGAACTTGATTAGCTAACGAGCAGTGGCTAAATTGGGGCTGCCGATACGAAAGCATCCGACTCCTTACTCGACATCATTGTTGGAAACAGGAAGCTCTGTTTTTGTGATAGAGGAGGTGACCTTACCGTTCAAAATTGGAAGCTACGAAGATGTCGTTCGGTGCGACGTGGGGCCTCTGAAGATGACTCATGTGGAGCTTGGTCACCCTTGGCACGTTGTCAAAGATGCTCGACATAGCAGGAGCACCAATAGTATCCGATTGCGGCATTGCGGGAAGCTTATTACTCTAAAGCTTCTGTCGCCAGAAGAAGCTGCAGAAGATCGAACCACCCTACTGCAACAACTCCATGACGAGGAGGAAAAGATGCTGGAGGTTTCTAACGGGGATCAACAGTTACGTGAGCCAGATAACCGGCTCATTGAGGAAGTTCAAGCAACGGAAACAACAGCCTGCACAGACTGCTGTTTTTCATCGGCGAAACAGAGTTTGGCGTCTCAAGACAACGACGTCAAGCAGAAGGCTATACGAAGGATGTCACTACTTCTGGAAGCCACTGGACGGTCAAGGAAAGATGTTTCCATCACCAATCGCTTCAGATCAACAGGGAATCTGTTTCCTCGGTAAAACCAAATGCCACCGCCGGTGCCGAATTCGTTTCCGGCGATGTTGATTTGATGTTTCGCGGTGGAAACTCTTGCGGTGCCGTTGGATCGAATGCACTGCTGATTGTTGAAATCGAGACGACCGTCAAATATCCGCCGCCGAATGTCGGCGCCGTTGATTTGATCGATGCACCTCTAAATGGTGAAATCAACGTGACCGTCAAATATCCACCACCGGTGTCGGCGATGTTGATTTGATCGATGCACCTCTGACTTCTAACCAAGAACGACCGTTACTACGGTTCGCACCTCTCCAAACTACGTTCGAACGAGGGTGTTTGAGTTTTGAGGAATCTACGTTACCGCTACTCCTATGGAGATTCCTGTGGAGAGCTCCGCGACTACGACTAAGACTACAACTATGGAGATCCTTCCTGGAAGGAGAGCTCCGCGAAGGAGTTACAGAGAAAAAAGGTAAAGTTTGACAGATGTGTTTTCTGTGTTGATTTTTGGTTGTCCCCCTCTCTCCTTGCTCCGCTGCTTTTATTTGAAATCACTTGCGTAGTCTTCACGCCCTGTGGAACTGCTTCCTCAACCGCTCCGTTGTGAACTCCTACGTCTTCATTCCTGTCAACCGTGCAGGTAACTTCCTCCTTGTTGCGTGATAATCACGGCCCTCGAAACCGCTCTTGCTTTGCAGAAACTGGCGAAACGACATCGCCTTTCACCAACCGATGCTGTTTTGTAATCCAACTCAACTGCCCGACCCGGTTTAACCAACGACATTGTCAGTCCATCAAACAATGTCGTTCTATACTCTTGCGCCGTTGTTGGGCTCGGCGGGCTGCCTTTGGCCGAACTCTTACCACTACCGCAATGTCGTTTTTCTTTTCCGCGACATCGCTTTTCATTAAACGACGCCGTCTAAAATAATCATAAAATTAACTCGGCCGTCAAACTTCACCCATCGGCGTCGTTCATAGTTAAACACCATTGTTTCCTTGTCCCGCGATGTTGTTGAACTTTTGAGCTTCGCGACACTGTTTTAATTTTAACACTGTCGTTTTACCTGTTGCGAACATCGTTTCCAACTAAACGACACCGTCCTAAAAAATAATTAACCATATTAGTTAATTAATCCGGCCAATAACTAGCTATGGCCAACGACATCACTAGCGTCACAACAACTCCGTTTGTTTTTCCCTTTTGCGACATTGTTTCTTATTTAAACACTGTCATTTGCTAATCGGCGGTACTGTTCAGCTTACTCGCAGTACCGTTTTGAATTAAACGACACCGCCAATATAGCCAAAAAATATTAATCCATGGAACCGCCGCAGTCGGCGCTCGCATTGGGCCGGGTGAATTTTGGTCACTTGCCCGATATGATTTTTTAATTAATCGGTACCGCTTACCAGGCTCTCGCGGCACCGTTTTTAAATCTGCGGTACCGTTTAGCTCTCCGCGATACCGCTTATCTCCATGCGGTACCGATTTTCCCCCTTCCAACAAGGAATAAAAATAATAATTAAATAATTAAAACTCCTCCTCCAACCTTCATTAAACGCACGCCCCTTTTTTATTTTGTGGTGACCGGTGCCGCGGTACCGCTGAGCTTCCTTGCGGTACCGTTTTAACTCTCCATGCGGTACCGATTTTCCCCTTCCTACAAGGAATAAAGGTAATAATTAATTATAAGACTCCCTTCTCCAACCCAACTACACTCGCGGCCCCCTTGTGTTTTTCATTAAGCGGTGTCGTTTCCCATGCCGCGGTACCGCCGAGCTTCCTTGCGGTACCGTTTTAACTCTCCGCGGTGCTGCTTAACTCCAAACGACATCGTTTTTAATCCGCGGTATCGAATTAAAATGCCGAGACTAATTAATGCGGCATTTAATTTCGGCCAAATTAATTTTAGGTGTCAACAAATGCCCCCCACAATTTGGTTTATAAGAATTATGAACCAAATTGTTGACAAAATTTAAAGAGAACACCGAAAAACAATACCTGGCCTCAACAGCAGCACCGATGATTTGTTCTAAAGCATTAGTGGCCAACAACCGCGTTAAGCCTCTTCCCTGTGGAACTAGGTTTCCTTCTCCACTAAAAACCATTCTCCTCATCCTTTGCCAACGTAGGAAGGAGATTGTGAAATTACATTGTGAAATGCATAGTTGCTTTGCCATGCAATGTTGTAGCGGCCGGCCATTTTTTTTTTAATATTTATTTTTCTTTTCTTTTCAGGCCTGTTTGGGCCGCTCTTTCCCTTTGCCCCGTTTTTTTTTTATTATACCAGGGCTGTTTGCGGCGAAGTTCTTTTTTTTTTTTTTCTTAAGGCTAACGGCCTTTTCTTCTTTATATATTGCTGCAGCTCTGTTTTTTTTTTCCACAATCCTGCCCCCAATCGGCAGATATAAGAATAAATAAAAATAATAAAAAACAAAACAATACTGAGTTAGTCCGCAACGCGGTAGCGCAGTAACCAATACTGCCGCACTGTTGCTTAAACCAAATCAGCGGTATTCAGTTTTTTATTATTATTAAAAATCTAACAAGCAGGCCGCACTGAAAATAAACCTAGCGGCCTTGTATCACAACCCCGCAACGCTGTTTTGAGTAAACAACGGCATATTACCTTTATTTAAATAATATTGTTTTCAAAACAATAGAGGCTGTCTCATAGCGGTGTGTATCCCTCCAACACTATTGAGAAAAGAGAACACAACACCGCTTGTCATCTTGAACCATTGGCAACAGCGTTGTGGCTTCTTCTCAACAACGTCGCTTGGTTCTATTTTTTGTAATAATTTTTTTTTATATAATATGTGGCCTAAATTAGCCATATTTTATTTATTTTAATAACCACTAAACAAAAGCAGGGTCTACTGGGG